CGCTCAGGACGACACCCTCTGGTCCTGACACTCTGTCCCCACCTCCCTAGCAGGGGTCTTGTCGCGGCTTACGTGCAGTCCTGGTTGAATGAGAAGCAGCTGAGCGCCGACTCGACCCCGCCCGGGGGAGCGTCCGCGACCTCTGCCTCCATCGGGTGCTCGGCCCGGGAAGCTGCAGCTCGGAGCCGGCTACCAGCCACCTCAGCAGCCCGCCGGCGCCGGCTCCACGGGCCGGGCCGCGGGTCCTGCCCGCCCCTTCCCCGCCCCTTCCTCGCCCTGGCCCGGGCTTCGCCCCGCCCCTCCTCGCCTCTCCCTCGGGTCCCCAGGACCCGAGCAGCTGACAGGGTTGGGCTCCTGCCTCCGGCCACCATTGGCCACGAGCCCAAGCCGCGGTGGGCGGACACCGCCCCTTGGCCAATCCGCGGCGGCTGCGGGCGGACCCGCCTGACTGGTGACCCGCCTCTGGCTTCGTAACGCGGCTTTCCATTGGACAAAGGGACGTGACACAATGGCAGCAGGCCACGTGGTGGTGTTTTCATTGCCGGAGTCGCCCAGCTGGGAGGGAGAGGGAAAGATGAGTACTGCTGGGGCGAGACCTGATGGTTTCAGTCCGGCATCTGAGTCCGGGCCGCCACTAGGAAGACGGGAGGACGCGCTAGTTCCCACTCCGCCCAAACCCTTTGCCAAGTGTAACTCTGCCTATTAAACTTACAGAGTTTAGTAGAGAGCGTTAGACTCCAAAGCCCCACCCTTTTGTAGAGTCCTCAAGCTGCATTGAGAGAAGCTCCTAAAATGGGGCTGCTTCAACCAGAGAGGTAGCAAGTTATCTTATCTATTGCCGAGAGGTTGAGAACCTTTACTACTTGCCAAGCGCCATACTATGTATGTTATCATGTTGAATTCTTATAAAACTTGTACGGAAAATATGATTGTGCTCAGTATACAGAAGAGGCAACCGAAGCGCGAAAGCTAAACAATTTGTCTAAAGTAACAACAAATGGTAGAAAGTGTGTTTGTCTGCTTTCAAGACCTGTGCACCAAATAACTGCTGAACAGTTATTTGGCAAGACCTATCTGATCCATAGCTGAAGAAAATGAAAGTGTGTATAGGGTAGTGTAGTTTATGAAAGGGGTGACGTCTTGAAGATATGGCACAATTCAAAACTCACATAATTAGAAATAAATCTTGACAAAGGATCTCTTTTTCCAGGCTAAGTACTGTACATGTTTCCATGCGGAATTATTGTCAGTATGGTTTATGAATCAGGAGCTCTGCCAGCTTTGGACTGTATAATTGCTGATGGATTTTTAATTCATTTTTCTCAAATTTTGAGATAATATTTTAACTATTGTTACATGATAGTGTCTCAAATCAGCATAATTCAAATTTATTAGGTTGGTGCAAAAGTAATTGCGGTTCTTGCCATTACTCTTAATACCTAGTTTATGACAAAGCCATATATATATATATATATATGTATATTTAGCCTTGGACCTAGAATACATGAGCAAAGGGCACTATTTCACCTAAACCTGTCTGGTTGGATTTTCGGTTTGTGTTTTCTGAGATGCAAATATAACAGTTTCTTTTCTCAACTGTATTATTTTTTCTCTCCAGTGATGCAAAAATAGTTCAGCTCCTACATTCACAGATGTTATTGCTCTTCTGCCTATTGTGAGGTGTTGTATAAACTATCAGGAGTGAACGGATCCTTTTAGTATGGATACTTTCAGTATCCATTAGATACATTTGTGTACATTTGTATACATACAAAAATGGTACAGAGTATCTAAACAATAAAGATACTTCATACCATTTTTGTATATATACAAATGTATCTAATGGATAAATGGTATACTTTTAGTATACTGTTTAGATACTTTGCACAATTTTTGTAACCTTTCTTATCAAAGCTTCTTCCCCCCACCTCCCAGCTCTGTCAAATGCTGCAGTCCTTTCTGTCCTGTTTAGAAACATGAAGTGTGCCATTAAGCATTTAAAATGTAAGCTATTATTATCAGTTTGTTATTAAGAGTTTGGACTTTACTGGGTAGATGTGGGAGCTGGTGTTCCTTTTTGAGCAGGAGTGTTTCATGATAAAAGCAGTGTCTTTGTCAGATAAGCGTGGCCAGGATGTACAGAACAAATTAGAAATGGGGAAAGGCCTAGAAGTCTTTAGGGGATGAAGGTGAAATTCTGGGAGTGAAGTGACAGGAGGGACTAGGTTAAAGTGACGAAAACAAGGCCAGAATATTAGACCAAAGCATAGAGATGCTTTCAGGCAATGCTGTCCAATAGATAAAGTGAGCCCCAAATGTGAACTCCACATGTAAATTTCAATTTTCTAGAAGATACATTTAAGAAGGTAAAAAGAAATAGGCAAATTAATTTGAACAATATTGTTTATTTAATCCAATATGTCAAAAACATCATTTCAATATCAGCATAATCAATATAAAGTTACTAATCAGTTAATTCAGATTTTAATTTTTTTAAGAATGAAATATTTTAAATCTGGTGTGTATTTTTCACTTACAGCATATCTCAGTTCACATGAGCCACATTTTAAGTGTTCATATAGCTGGTGGCCACTTTATTCTCAGAGAAGTCTTGAGGAACTAAATGACAGGCATGACAACGAATGGGGAAGGGGGAGGGGCAGAGAAGAAGAGGGAAGAGTCAAAACTAATTTCATGGTTGGGAAGGGGAAGCCAGTTGGGTTGCTTTTAGAAACTAGATCTTCAGTCAGGTATTCAGGAAGATGTATTTCATTTCAGACACATTTCATTAGCAGCAGAACTAAATGGTTACTGGAATTAAGATTTTGATCTGGAGATACGGCGATAGGAGAAAAATTGCTACCTTCCCAGCCTCACCCTTCCTGTGAATGGTCCCCCTTATATGTTTCTTTCCGGTTTAATGGTCTATTATGCCACCATCCATGTGGAAATAACATCCCAGAGCTGCCTCAACTGATTTCATTTTTCTCAAGACAATACATGTCTATATTTTTATATAAATCTACATTTATATAAATCTATGCCTATTTTATTAAAAACCTGTATTTTTAGGTAAATTTAAAAAGTGATGAAAACTAATTCTTATTTTCAAAAAGTACCTTGTGAGCAAAACTAAATACATCAGCTGGCTGGGTGTGGTTTGTGGAGGGCTGGTTTGTGCTTTCTCTTAGAGGTGTAAGCAGCCACTTTGAAGAGCTCCACTCTCAAAAAAATTCCCAGAAGCCCATTCATGTAAAAAGCAAGGACAAAGTTATAAATAACTTAACAGGTGCTGAATTCATTTAATGTCAGGCTGATTTTTCTTTTTTACCATTCTAGTTCTGGGTTCTGTGGGAGAGGGTACTCTTGATTTGAATGTTGGGCTTATGGGCATCCTAATTCAGCAATTTCACTACTAAACAACATCAGCAAAAGGTAATGGGGTAGGTAGGGTGGGGGACAATGCTTTGTTGCAGAGAACAAGATTTTGGCTTTTTCTCCTTCCAATTGAAATTCCCAAATTTCTATCTTTCCCGTGTGTGTGTGTGGGGGGGGCACTCCATTATTTCTTCCTCTTCCTCCTCCTCCTCCTCCTCTTCCTCCTCCTCCTCCTCCTCCTCCTCCTCCTCCTCCTCCTCCTCCTCTTCTTCTTCTTCTTTTTTTGAGGTGAAGTCTTGTTCTATCACCAGGCTGGAGTGCAGTGGTGCAATCTTGGCTCACTGCAACCTCTGCCTCCTGGGTTCAAGCGATTCTTCCACCCCAGCCTCCTGAGTAGCTGAGACTACAGGCGCGTGCCACTACACCTGGCTAATTATTGTATTTTTAGTAGAGATGGGGTTTCATCATGGCCCGGATGGTCTCTATCTCTTGACCTCATGGTCCGCCCACCTCAGCCTCCCAAACTGCTATGATTACAGGCGTGAGCCACCACACCTGGCCCACTCCATTATTTCTACGAAAACTTACTAGTAAGTAACTAGTAAGTTACTTACCAATCAGCAAAATCTGAAAAATAAAGCTGGGCTGTGGGAATTAAAGACATGTTTGGTAATACAAAATTGCAGGCCACCATTCAGCTAATGGAGTGAATTCTTATATGTGTAACAATCAGGTTGTAATTTTAAAATGCTGATTAGGGCATGTACAGGGCATTAACAGGGGAAGCTGGAAATGAGACATCCTGTCTGATGCAACACTCCTGTCACCCCGTATGGCCGTTCATTGCACCCAATCATCTATAATTAGAGTAGCTACTAGGTGAACAAACACCACTCCTGTTCTGTTCTTCTTTTTATAAAGTCTATTCTATTTTTATAAAACCAAGTTGCAGGGAATAATCTGCTTCTTCTTTTCTGCTATGGGGCAACACTCAGAACGTGAACTGAAAAAGAGTTGACCCCTCCTGGGCCACCGTATAGTAGGCCTTTGAGAAAGGGTAAAGGAAGAAGGGCCTTGGGACAATGGAGACAAGAGGGAGAGGGAGGGAAGGGAGTGGGTGTCAGTACATGTGAGTACGTGGAGGAAGCTTAAGGAGTCAGCCCTACATTGCCAGAATAGAAGGGAAGGGGTTGGGCCATAGGGCGATTTCTGGGAAAGGAGATGATCAATCTGATTGGCAAGCAGTAAATCCACAGCCAGAGGTCTGGCTGAGCAGCAGGTGTGACTGGGTGTTTTGTTTCTAGTTATAGACAGTTTGTGTGATATAGCATGGCTGCAGTGAATGAAGAGTTCCTATCAAGTGCCCTTGCCCCCATATGGAACCATTATTTCTGGATTTATTGATTAAAAGGGGGAGAAACAGGGAGCAAAAATTAATGACACTTCTAATATTCCTTGACTTATATATTCCTTCCCATGAGTCAGGAAAAATGTTATTTCACTCAAGAGTGAATTGGTGTCTTAATCTTCATTTTCTTCCCTCATCTGTCTTATTTTTGCCTCCAGAATAGCCTTCCTAAAACACCAAGGTGAATCACAGGTTTTCAATAAGTGCTTGCTGATTGACCGATGGAGTCACTTTCTAGGAGTGCATTTGCCAATGTCGTTTGAGCTGAGAGTCTATCACTCATGCCAGCGCAGAGAGGTTCAATCAGGGTGTTTTTGTTCACTGAGACATCTTCAGACTGGCCAAGGATACAGAGACGGGTTCAGCAGGTCAGCCGATCACCCTGCCTTAAATTTTAGAGGATAATTATAGGTGATACCTGAAAATAGAAAACCAAGCTTTACAGAAGGCTTGGTTTGGAGCATCATACAACTTCTCATTTAACACTAACCACATCTGTCTGGTTGAGAAATGTTGATCCCCATCGGGCAGCTGCATAAGCCAAAACGGAGACTATTGAGTAAGTTGCCATGGGCTCTGAGACAGTTTGTGACGGAGGTGCAGTTTGTACTCAGTCCCTTCCACTGGGTGCCCAGGTTGCCAGTCCACGCTGTCTCAGACTGCTTTGGCTCAAGGCTGGAAATAGAACTGGCATCTTGACCTGTGCTTCATCCTATAAAGGGACAGAGAAGCAAGGGGTGGAGAGATAGAGGCAGGATTGTGCCAAGAGGGCCACAGGCCAAGTACAAGGGCGAGAGTGTGGAGTCCTGAGCGCTTCAAAGGTGACTAACTCTTTGCCTACATTTACCAAGGATACATCTAGAAATATTAAAAAATGTCCTTTGGCTGGGCACGGTGGCTCACACCTGTAATCCCAGCACTTTGGGAGGCCCAGGTGAGCAGATCACGAGGTCAGGAGTTCCAGACCAACCTGGCCAGCATGGTGAAACCCCATCTCTACTAAAAATACAAAAAATTCGCTGGGAATGGTGGTGTCCGCCGGTAGTCCCAGCTACTCGGGAGGCTGAGGCAGAATTGCTTGAACCCGGCAGGCAGAGGTTGCAGTGAGCTGAGATGGTGCCACTGCATTCCAGCCTGGGCGACAGAGTAATACTCCATCTCAAAAAAAAAAAAAAAAGTTATTTGCTTCCAAGCAGAGAGTTAGCCTGTGCTCCTGGGTGGACGTGGCTTGTTGGAAAGTGCTGTACTACTTTAGGTTTCTTTCTAATCTAGCGGTGGTGTAGGGAGTGGTAACCATTCCTTAGAATCCATCAGCCGCTGGAAAGAAGGTGGGTTCAAAGTCTTTGTGATGGCGGTGAGAGGGGGGCGTGGCTAAGAATTCTGAGATTCTTGGTGAACAGTGCCATCTAGTGGTCTGCATGATTTAGTTCTAGGACGGTTGGGTGAACACCTCAGGAAAAGCTGGCTTGAGTGATAAGATATGGGTGGCCCGATCCTAAAGCCCCAAAAGAAAAGTCTCTGAGGCTCCATTGTGTATTCTTCCAAAACCTCTTTACTGTCTATAAATGGAAAACATGGAAGCCTCTCCCACCACTTCCTCTCAAGGGGGAGAAGTTTGGAAGGAATTTGTATATTCATTCATTCATCCATTCATTCATTTGACCAATTTTTATCATGTGCCTGTCGTGTGCCAGCCATGGTTCCAGGTCCTAGGAATATGAAACTGTCCAAAATGAGTAGAAACCCCTGCCCACCTGGGCAGAGAGACCACCAACAAGAAAAATGAGATGTATAGTATCTTAGATGGTGATAAGTGCTAAGAAGAAACATACAATAAAAGCGTGTTGGGGAGTATGGGGTGTGGGGAGGAGAAATTTCCATTTGAAATTGGAAGAGAGGGGAGCAGGTTATGCAGTCATGTGGGAAAAAGCTCAAAGAAGCGGTGAGGAGGCAGGGCTGTCGGAGAGTGTGGAGAGCTGCAGACAAAGAGCCCACAGTGGCCTGGGAAACCACGGGAAGTTCTGACTTACATCGGAATAGAATCACTCAGGCAGCTGCATTGAAAAGAAATTGATGATGTCTTGGGAGATTCACAATTCACTTTAGCATATTCAAGTCTCCAGAAAGCCCAGCATTATGTTTATTTAATGTTGTTTCACAAGTACTTCCCAAGCTTATTTAAAGATAGAGCCCTGTCTTCCAGGAATACCCACTGCTTCATGTGAGACCTGAGAAAATGGAAATCAGCCCGGATAAGCAGACTGGAATGTTCCCAACAGTCATCAACAAGGTCAGCACAAGGCCAGGCAAAAACACTGTTTAATGCAAGGCCACACCACAGCTGCAATATTACTGGCACTGGAGTGTCTAATTCTTTCCTATCAGTTCCTCTCCCAGACCCACTTGATTTCTCCACTTGCTGAAGAAAACTTTCTGAGCTACCCAATTATGAAACCACCCTGCTTCAAGACACATCCATTCCTGACCTGATTTTTGTTTCTTCCACCTTTCCTTCCCCAGCATCACTTAACACAAACCGGCAAAAAAGCCCTTTCCCACAGCCTCTTACTGAGAAGCTTCATGGTTCACTTGATGTGCACAACACCCTTTTGCTGCAGGAAGTTAACAAAACTGACATTGACAAGGTTCACTCTTCTTGTACTCTACCTGTAGGTATTACCAGAGCCTAGCATTTCATAAAACAAGGTGTAAGAACAGCTGGACAAAATGATTACTTCCTGTTATGAAATTCTGAGTCTAAAGATGAGACATTGCACCCCCCCAAACTGTCTTGTGTACCAGTTGAAGACAGCATCTTAAGAATGAAGAGGGTGAGGACTGTATTGTTAAATATTTAAAAAATAGGAAGTGTGGATTATTTTTATAAGTTGTTCCTTGTCTATCTGGTCCCTTCTGCTGCTAACATTTTTGACTGAACATTTGTACTATGGGACCTCTTGGCCTGATGAAGATTTAATATGCTTCTCTCCTGCCAGGAACCTCCTTGGCCTTTCTCAGCCAGTGCACAGATGTCTGGAGGCAGACCAGATTGGTTCTAGGCAAAACAAAAGATATTGTCTCAGCTTTCTATTTTTTTTTTAAGATGGAATCTCATTTTGTTGCCCAGGCTTGAGTACAGTGGTGCGACCTCAGCTCGCTGCAACCTCCACCTCCGGGGTTCAAGCAATTCTCATGCCTCAGCCTCCAAGTAGCTGGGGTTACAGGCATGTGTGACCACTCCCAGCTATTTTTTTTTTTTTTTTTTTGTATTTTTAGTAGAGACGGGTTTTCACCATGTTGGTCAGGCTGATCTTGAACTCCTGACTTCAGGTGATCCACCCACCTGTGCCTCCTAAAGTGTTGGGATTACTGGCATGAGCCATCACCCACGGCCTGTCTCAGCTTTCTTGAACTGTAGTGATGGTATAGGCAATAGTGATCCACAAAAGCAGATTTGCATCTTAGAAAGCTCCCTGCAGCAGGAGCAGTGGAGGATGTCGGAAAGTGGTGGGTGATGGGGCAGAGAACAGGTGAGAGGCTGGTGTGTCAGTTTAAGTCAGACACCGGAACTTAGGTGATTTGCGGAGTGGAGGGAGAATCTATAGGAATCAGTGGTTTATTAGATGAGAGAATGGGGAGAGGCAGATCAGCATAGAGAGTGGTGGTCAGTGTAACTTGGGTTTCCTCTGACCTTACTGGCTTCTGCGTGCAAATGGGCCTGAGTTACCAGTTACCCAAATTTCACTGGCTCCTTCCTCTACCTTTTATAGAATACTCAGCTCCCTTCAAAGACTTTCCTATCAATTACTGGGAGTCCCCAGAAATGCCTTGCACGTGCTCAGAATTGCCCTTATGGGCATGCCCATAGGGACATTTGTTTCTGCTGATGAAGACCCTTGTGATTGATGCCTCATTGCTGCCACCTGCTGGGGACCACTGTAACAACACCAAAGTGTTTTTTCCAATATACATACACTCTTTCTGCTTGTATTGAAATGATTATTTATGTTTTCTCTCTGTCTCTCTCTCTCTCTCTCTCTTTTTTTTTTTTTTTTTTTTGAGACAGAGTCTCACCCTATTATTCAGTCACCCAGGCTGGAGTGCAGTGGCACGATCTCAGCTCACTGCAACCTCTGCCTCCTGGGTTCAAGCGATTCTCGTGCCTCGGCCTCTCGGGTAGCTGGAGTTACAGGTGAGCGTCACCAGGCCAGGCTAATTTTTGTATTTTTAGTAGACGCAGGATTTTGCCATGTTGACCAGGCTTGTCTTGAACTCCTGGCCTCAAGTGACCTTCCCACCTCATCCTCCAAAGTACTGGGATTACAATCGTGAGTCACCATGCCCAACCACATTTTCTCCTATTTTATGTTAATGTGGATAACTAAATCAGGTAATTTTTTATTGAGGTGAAATTCTCATAAAGTTAACCATTTTTAAGTGAACAATGCAGTGACAGTACATTCACAATGTTATGCATCCACCTCCGTTATCTAGTTCCAAAACATTTCTATCACTCTAAAAGAAAACCCTGTACCCCTTAAGCAGTTACTACCTGTCCCTCTACCCCAAACCCTCGGCAACTGCCAGTCAGCTTTCTGTTTCGATGGATTTATCTATTCTGGATATTTCGTATAAACGGAATCACACAATATGTGGTCTTTTGTGTCTGGGTTTTATTTAGCAGAATGTTTTCAAGGTTCATCCATGTTGTAGCATGTGTCAGTATTTCATTTCTTTTCATGGCTGAATAATATTACTTTGAATATGCATATAACAATTTTATTCATTTATCAGCTGAGAGACATTTGGGTTGTTTCCATCTTTTGGCTATTGTGAATATTATGAACATATGTGTACATGTACTTATTTGGTACCTATTTTCAATTCTCTTGAGAATGCTCTGAATTCCTGGGAGTGGAATTGTTGGGTCACCTGGTAATTCTATGGCTAACTTTTTGAGGAATTGCCAAACAGTTTTTCATAGCAGATGAACCATTTTACATTCTTATAGCAGCATACAAGGGCTCCAGTTTCTCCATATCCTTACCAACACTTCTTATTTTCTGTTTTTGCTTTTGTCTTCCAAATTACTCTGGCCATCCTTGTGGGTCTCATGAACACTAAAGTTTTATGAGATGCCTGCAAACTGAAACCCTTGGGACACATTAAGTAGTGCTAGGTGTCCCAGTATTCTCACTGAGTCAAAGCCCTCCTATATTCTCAAGACCACCATGCTCATTCTGGGTCACACTCTTGACACCTGGACAATAAGTTTCAACATGGAGTTCTCTCTTCACGAAGCTCAAATGGGAGTTCATGGTACCATGTCAAGGACTCAATATCTGAAGTAGATCCCAGGCTTTCCTTCCTGGTTTGTTCTTTCCAACCTTATCTTTCATTCTCCTAGCTAAAACCTCTTGATATATCACCATCTCTTTAGGTACAGTGGGACATGATTGCCTCCAAACTTAGCTGCTTAGCTTCAGCCAGGGATCTCTACTATGCAGGGGTTTTTTGTTTTTTTTTTTTTGAGACAGGACCTTGCTCTGTCACTCAGTGGTGCCATCATGGCTCACTGCAGCACTGCCTTCCCAGGCTCAAGTGATCCTCCCACTGTGGCCTCCAAGTTACTGGGACCACAGGCACATACCACCATGCCCAACTACTTTATTTATATATATACTTTTTAATATATGCATATATAATCCTTTTTTTTGGAGATATATCATTTTGCCATGTCACCCAGGCTATGATGGAGGTCCCTGTTAGGATGGAGAATGGAGCAAATCACACAGATGTTACAGAAAAATAGACACAGAGGACTAGAAACTTTGGTCCCTTTTACTGTAAGGAAAATCCTGTGTGACATCAAAGAGGGCATGTCTAGGAGGTATTTGATATCTGTAGCTGGGGCTAAGGGTAGATATGTGGGTTTGAGAGAGAGATCCAGGAGTCACTGGGGAAGATGTAGTAGCTGAAGCTGTGAGAGGAGGCAGGCTGTAATGGAAAATGTGTCAGTTGGTGAAGAACTGAAATGAAATGTCCTGGTTTGACGTTTTGAGTATTCCTTTAATTTTAGGAACACTATCAGAAAAGAGGCTAGCTTGTGAGCTGAGTCGGTTTGCTTTCCAAAAACATGACTGAATGTTTTCACTACTGCATATCTAAAGGGGGTGCAGACTGGGCTTTTCACTATTTCTCTGGGGTTAGAAATGTCCTTTGGTGGGTTTCTAAGTTTTCATGGAAGGCCAGTTCCAGAGACTATTTACAAGCTGTTAGGAAAAACATCAAGCAGACAAGACATATTTCAAAATATTTAAAGTGGTCTATTCCTAGGCTCTCAACTCTTCTCTCTCCACTTCCTCTCCATGGATCTGTTTTCACACATGGGAGCTTAAGTCAGCCTCTATCTGTAGGTGACCGTTGTCTGACCTTATACTCTGGAATGCTCTATATGCCTCTGACTTTCATCCCAGGAAACATCAACACCCACTTCCGCTGGCATTCCTGATGGGAGCCAACTCTTCCTCCTGAGCAGTTGGAAGAGTCCTGCTTCAGTGACTCCCAGGGAATGTTGACAGAGTCACTTTTTAAGAAAGAGATTTATCCCACACCAAAACAGAAATCACTCATTTTGCATCATTTTATGCCTTGTCTATTTTCAAGGTAGGGTGTTTCATTTTGTTTTGTTTTTCCCCTGTTCTTCCAATCCATGAACATAGTATAGATTCTTAAGTCCTTTTGAAGTGTAAAATTTCCCACAGCCACATAGCTCAATTTTTTCTACTTCCAGGATTTAAAAAAAAATTACATTAGCCTTGTATTTCCTCCAAAACTGTTATTAAAACTGAAATTATCTTGTTGATTTCTTGGTTTACCTGTTTACCATCTCCTCCATCTAAAAGGTAAGTTCCATGAGGATGGGGTCTCATGTGTCTTCTCCTAGCACCTAGAATAATGCCTGACCATGTACAGATGCTCATGAAATATTTGTTGGGTGACTGGCTTACAGAATCAGTTGCTGAAATGTCATACAAAACTTTCCATCATGAATGTCCTTTTTTTTTTTTGGCCTCTCTTGAGTAAGAATGTTGTCCTGATTTAACTAGCATTATTGACAAATACCAACTAACTGTATTAATGGCTCTCAAGTTTATTTACACTCTTAAAAGTAATTGAGGACCCCAAAGAGCTTGTTTGTATGGATTATACCTATCATTACTTAGTGAAATAGAAATTAAAACTGAGAATTTAAAATATTTATTAATGCATTAAATAAATAACAAACCCATTACATGTTAACATTAATATTATTTTTTATTCCCCCAGACAAACAAAAAACAGGGAGAACTGAGGCATCGTTTTACATTTTTGCATATCTCTTTAATGTCTGGTTTAATAGAAGACAGCTGAATTCTCATATCTGTTTCTGTATTCAGTGTGTCATGATATCACAACCTCACGTAGCCTTTGAAAAGCCCCACTGTGCACTTGTGAAAGAATGCGAGTAAGAAAGGCAAATAACATCTTAGATTATTTTGCAAATAGTTTTGACTTTGCACAGATACACCAGGAGATTCTTGGGTAGCCCCAGGAATCACTGAAGCACATTGAGAACCAAAGATTGATATTAGCGGAGAGGAATATTTTTCTTGGTCTTTGAACTACATTATCATTAAACACTGTACTTTTCTCTTTAATATCCTTTGCTTAGCTTGATATTAAAATCCTTTTGCATTCCTCAGGATTGACAAAGGTGGACAAGGTGCATAGTGAGGAAGGGCTGATAGAAAAACAAACCAAAGATTAATAATTTGTTGCTTTTATACAAACACATACATATATAAACAAAAACAACAATAAAAACGTGCCTTTGTGGAACATGCACCATGTTTTCTATATTTTCCAAAGATTATCTTTATTTATTTATTTTATTTTTTTTAAAGACGGGGTTCACCATGTTGGTCAGGGTGGTCTTGAACTCTCAACCTCAGGTGATCCGCCTGCCTTGGCCTCCAAAGTGCTTGGATTACAGGCGTGAGCCACCACACCTGGCCGATTATCTCTATTATTATATCAACATTTCCAGGCAGGAATTGTCAGCTTCATTTCATAGGCAAAGAAATAGAGGCTCAGAAAACCAAAATAATATATGAAAGATTGCCAAGCTAATAAGTAATAGAGAGGTGACTGCCATGCCCAAATCTCTTTTCCTCCAAAAGCAGGACACTTTGACCATCAAATTCTACGTTACCACAATATGGGAGAGAAAAACTCAGAAACAATGAAGAGTTCACTGTACAAATTAGCCTTATTGTTTTGCATAAGTGAATAAAAAATCATACTCCTTTTTTTCTGTTAGTGATGATAAATTTAAAAAGTCAATTCATTTTTTTCCCTCTGATGTGAAGAGTAATACACCTACAGCAGAAGACTGAAAAACAACTAAATGTCCACCAGTAGGGGACAGGGTGGTTGCATTAATTGCAACACACCTGTGGATGGAATACTATGCAGTCATTAAAAAGAACAAAGCCACTCTATTGGTACTGACATAGAACTGTTTCGAAGATGGGAAAAAGTAAGGTGGTGCAAGTTCTACAGTATGCTGTTGCTTGTATTTAAAATCTGTATATTAATATGTGCTGGTAACTGGTTGCTTTTGTGAATTCAGTAAAGGGACAAGTAAGAGGCAACTTATTTTTCTGTAACCATAGTCTCTTCCCCAGACATAGACCTTGATGTGTGATATGGACAGAAGCCCTAGCTTTTCAGAGAGCAGAACTATCCAGCCATGTGTAACATCAAAACGTCACTCTCACAGCCGATTCAAAACTGCTAAGCCCTCTCTATTCTTTCCCCACCTCCTCCTTTCTGCTCCATCTCCCTCTCCACCTGAGCTGGGGCCAGGAGAGGACAATGCAGGGAGAGGGGTTAAGTCTTCGTCAGGGATGTCTCTGTAATACTTTCTTACCTGATGCTTTTCTACTAGAGCAGCTCTCCAAATGTCTGCAAACGCCTGGCTATCTCAGAGACCCCACTTGTGGTCATTCAGCGGGCTCCCATGAGATCCTCTGAATGGCCTAGTTTCTTTTTCTTTTCTTTTTTCCTTTCCTTTATTTATTTTTTTTCTTTTAGATAGAGTCTTGCTTTGTCGCCTAGGTTGGAGTGCAGAGGTGTGATCCCAGCTCACTGTAAACTCCACCTCCTGAGTTCAAGCGATTCTCCTGCCTTAGCCTCCTGAGTAGCTGGGATTACAGGTGCACTCCACCTCACCCAGCTAATTTTTGTATTTTTATTAGAGACGAGGTTTCACCATGTTGGCCAGGCTGGTCTCAAACTCCTGACCTCATGATCTGCCTGCCTCCACCTCCCAAAGTGCTGGGATTACAGGCGTGAGCCCCTGCACCTGGCTTGCTCTAGTACTTTCTTGTTTAATGCTTTCGCCTAGTACAGGGAACTCTCCACATGTCTGCAAATGCCTGGCTGCCTCAGAGGCTCCACATGTGGTCATTCAGAGGGTTCCTGGGAGACCCTCTGAATGGCTTCATTTCTTTTTCTCTTCTTCCCCTCCCTCTCCCTCTCTCCCTCTCCTTCCCCCTCCTACTCCTTCCCCCCTTTCTCCCTCTTCCCCCTCTCCCTTCCTTCTCCTTCTCCTTTTTCTCCTTCTCCTTATTCTTCTTTTTGGACAGAGTCTCACTTTGTTGCCCAGGCTGGAGTGCAGTTGCACAATCTAGGCTCACTGCAACCTCTGCATCCTGGGTTCAAGCAATTCTCCTGCCTCAGCCTCCTGAGTAGCTGGGATTACAGGAACCTGCCACCATGCCCAGCTAATTTTTGTATTTTTAGTAGAGACCGGATTTCACCATGTTGTCCAGCTTGTCTTGAACTCCTGACCTCAGGTGATCCACCCATCTCAGCCTCCCAGAGTGAGCCACTGCGCAGGGCCTGCACTGCCTAGTTTCTGATAGGAGTGAGGAGTGTGGTTCAGCAGACTTCTTCTGCTCAGCTCTATCCCCCAGTGCCCCACCCACACAGCCCCTTTCTTCTGTGGTTCAGGCAGGTGGCAAGTAAGGCCATTCAGGACAGCTCCAACCTTGCTAACTCCCCCAGCCTCAATGACTCCCAAAGCTCTCGAACCCTCACCTTGCCATGGCTGGGGAAGTCCTCTCCACACTGCCATCTCCTCATCCCTGCTGGCCGGAAGCAGGCAGGAGACTCAAACGTTCACATTTCCCCTCCCTGTTCCAGGGGACCCAGGCAGAGCTCCCAAGAACTTTCCTGCCTCTGGGCGCATGAGTCTTCATCGCACCACCAAGCTTCCAATCAGGGCCAGTTACCTAACTTGCAAAGCCTAGGGCAACATGGAAATGTAGGGTTCCTAGTCCAAAAAACAGGAGAGACTGCTGTTAAAGACACTAAAACAGCAGGCGCAGTGGCTCACGCCTGTAATCCCAGCACTCTGGGATGCCGAGGTGGGTGGATCACGAGGTCAAGAGATTGAGACCATTCTGAGCAACTTGGCGAAACCCCGTTTCTACTAAAAAAAAATACAAAAAATTAGCTGGGTGTGGTGGTGTGCCCTTGTAGTCCCAGCTACTCGGGAGGCTGAGGTGGAAGAGTCACTTGAACTGGAAGGTGGAGGTTGCAGTGAACAGAGATTGCGCCACTGCATTCCAGCCTGGTGACAGATCGAGACCCCCATCTCAAAGAAGAAAAAAAAAGACACTAAAACATAAAGCTTTTCTTTAAAAATATTTAGTTTATAAATAAAATGTATTAGGGATAAGAGTGGTGCATGAGCATCACACTTATCTTACAACTTGCAAAGAATTTAACATTTTAGTGTCATAATTTTACATAACAGCCAGGTGCAGTAGCTCATGCCTGTAATCCTAGCACTTTGGGAGGCCGAGGCAGGCAGATCATTTGAGGCCATGAGTTCAAGACCAGCCTGGCCAACATAGTGAAATTCCATCTCTACTAAAAATATAAAAATTAGTTGGGTGTGGTGGCATGCCCCTGTAATTCCAGTTATCTGGGAGTCTGAGGCATGAGAATCACTTGAATCTGGGAGGCAGAGGTTGCAGGAAGCTAAGATCACACCACTGCACTCCAGCCTGGGCGACAGAGTCAGACTCTGTCTCCAAAATCAAAAGTAACTTAATAAAGAATAATTTGTTAAGGTGGTATTTGAATGATCATTAGGTTTTTCTGGCTCATTTTTCTGCAGATTCATTCACTAGGTCATCAAATTTATACTTTTAGCAACTTCATTTTTAATTGATATAATTGAAAGTTATACCAGCCTCTCCCAGCAAATGCTGGATCACAAATAATTTTTAATTTTGAGAAAAATTATTCTGTAGATGCAACTTTTGGCTTTTGCTACAGTCTCCACAAGTTACAGGAGATGTTGGAGGAAATTAAATTAGAGTGTCATTGTACACATTTACATTTAAACTTAAGTTAAGGCTAGGCACAATGGTTATTCACAGCTATAATCCTAGCACTATGGGAGGCTGAGTGGGAGGCTGGATACTTGAGCCCAGGAGTTGGAGACCAGCCTGGGCAACATAGTGAGACCTTATCTCTACAAAAATTACATAAATAAATACACTTAGACTCACACAGAACTTATTAGTGTGAAAAGACAGAACTGCTGATCTAGCTAGAGATCTCTCTGAAAATACTCGATTTGGTAAATCAATTGACCTATCTATTTTATACGGATTGTTGATTTCTGGAAAGATGGAGAGAAACTGGAAAAGGTGATTTCCAAGTCTCTTCTCATTCCCCAAAAACTTAAACATTGGGAGAATGGAATGAGATAGATCTTATTCTTTATTTTTATAATTTCCCATTATTTGGCTTTTTAAACATGCACATGCTTTCATTGTTTGATTTAAAAACTTGTTAATGGTGGAGCATGTTGGCTCATGCCTGTAATCCTAGCACTTTGGGAGGCCGAGGGGGGAGGATCACCTAAGGTCAGGAGTTTGAGACCAGCATGGCCAAAATGGTGAAACCCTGTCTCTCCTAAAAATACAAAAATTAGTTGGGCATGGTGGTACGTGCCTGTAGTCCCAGCTACTCAGGAGGCTGAGGCAGGGGAATCACTTGAACTTGGGGGTGGGGGGCGGGGTGGAGGTTGCACTGAGCCGAGATCACACCATTGCATTTCAGCCTGGATGAAAGAGCAAAACTAGGTTAAAAACAAAACAAAAAACACCTTGTTAACAAGAAAAGGAACTCTTAAAGAAAAAAAAATGCATGTTGGCATGTTGACTTAAGGTCTTCAAACTCAGTTGATCATTGATACTGTTTTGATTCTTGCTAATCTTTCTAAAAACCACCAAATATATTTCTACATTCATGTATATTATACATAGCTATAATGTTCATATACTATACATAGCTATAGTTTAGGTGTCTTCAATTCAGCTGAAAAATATTAAGGCTAAAAATTTCCAGATTTACAGCATTAAGTCACATTAACTCTGGTTTTCCCTGGGGCTAAGTCTTTGGGAAGGTAGGGAATCAGCTGTCATTGCAGCTGTTTTTAAAATGGTGAAGTGTGCTTCCTAATGAATGAAGAGGATGCCAACAGAAGGTTATTTCCTGCGCTGGACTCCCCGTGCATGTACAGGAGTCTGAGGCTTGTGTGACTGGTACAGCAGTGCCCCAGGGGCCTGCTTAATCTCCGGTTGTCTGATGTCACACATAGTGAGAAGTCTGGCAACCAGAAGGCAGCACAGCCTCGGGTTGATCTCGTGATGAGTGGTCAGCAGTGCACCATGTCAGGCGGTTCTCTATGAGGGTTTCTCAATCAACTTATCAAAAATAAATAAATAGGCTGCGCACA